TAATTGTTTATTTTCTGGTCCGTGAAGGTTTTCACTCAAAGTCTCACGATACATGGCCCCATTTCATTCTTTCCTCTACACCAGGGGTCTCCAACGTTTTGTGTCCACAGAGAGTTTCTTTTTCAGGACAAAGATGTGAAAGATCTATTCCTTTACAGCCCTGAGTTAATCCGGTCTGGTGGCCAGATTGCTCTATGGGTATCAATCCAATGTCCATTTGTTCGTGCACAAACTTAAATATTTGTATTTGTGGCAGGGATGGGAAACAATTACATTTTTTGTTATTGGGGAGATTCTTTGTCATTTCTAAAATCTTTGGGGAGCTACTCAGAAGGAGCTGGCGAGCTCCTGATAGCTCCCGAGCTGCAGGTTGGAGATGCTGACTTTACACAAATCAGTCGTCCTAGTTCCTTTGCAGAAAAAAGCCGCAAAGCATGATGCTTCCACCCTCATGCATCACAGTTGGTATGGTATATGCAACAGCTTTCTTTCTTCTCCAAACACGAGTTGAGTTTTATCAAAAAAGTTCAACTTTGGTTTCATCTAAGACATCAACCCTTTTCAGACGAGCCTGGACATGTACTCCACACGGACAGATTGGTGCAGCAGTGGAACAGACAAAGCCCTTCTGCTTGTGGCCTACGCTACAGTCTGTTGTAAAGGACCACTACAGACAGAGCGCGTGAAATACATCAGCACTCCGAAGAGGCAGCACACATTAGGGCTGCGATCACATGGATTTATGTTCTCCTCAGCGACACTACCTCACCACCTCTGTCAGCTCTAATCTTTCTTCAAGAATGTCCCTGGTTCAATTTCTTAGTCTAAGACAAATGAACAAAGACCTCAAAACAGAGTAAACGTAAAAACCGAGGGGAAGGCTGAATATTTAGTGTGTCATTTACAGATGCAAGAGCAGGAAGTGGCAAGATCAGCAGTTTCACTCTTGGACTGTTTAACTTTACCCTTTGATCAAGAGGTACACAGAATAAAATTAGTGTTTAGTATTAAGGCTTGGAAAGGGTCACATATTTTGAGTTTCTTTTGCAGTACGAATAATTATATAGAATTAAATGAATGTTTGTAAATTATAGTAGTCTAGTATCTATTATACAGCTCTTGTTATCTGCAACCCTAAAAAATGTGGTAGCAGTCTACTATTGACTCAAGCCATTATTTGGTACAAAACAAATTTTCCTGATATTGTTTCCACAATTTTAATTTAGCTACAAAGGGACTTTCAAAATATATGACATTTAAAAAGATTAACATTAAAACCACATTTACTCATGTTGAGGTTTCCAGACCGGATGCTCATTGTTCTACATTGTTTTAAACAAGCAGCTTGTTGACTGTCCATGATTGAGAAGCTGATCAGGAGGGCCAGCTCCATTCTGGGCTGCTCCCTGGACTCTGTGGAGGAGGTGAGGGACAGGAGGGTGCTAGTCAAAGTCACCTCCATCATGGACGACACCTCCCACTGCACAGGACTGTAGAGGAGCTGAGGAGCTCCTTCAGTGCAAGAAGGAGCGCTACCGCAGGACCTTTATCCCCACCGCTGTCAGACTGTACAACAAGTCACTTGCACTATTTTATTGTAAATAATATATCCTGCATTTAACATGTTTGCACATTTCTTTCTTTTGCACAAATCTTGAGTGATTCTATCCATGCCCAATGTGACATGTCCATTTCTCCAGTGTGAGATCAATAAAGTCTATTATATCTTATCTTAAAAATATAACACTGTTTCGTGGCCTGCCAGACTATATGCGTTTTTAAAGATATTATATAGGTTCTTATTTTTAATAGAAAGGAGAAGTTTCCAGGATGATAACACTGATTTTCAGGGCAGACAGGAAAAGACTTTACAGAGACAGGTACATATAAAGATGTACTTCCGAGTTGGTAATTTCACACCACCTGTAGGCATCACTCTAGACCTATGAACAAAAACTTTTCTACTCGTTTGGATTCTGAATGCTGGATACTGACAGTACAAAACTGAGTGTGAATAAGGTGTTAAAATGAGAGACAGCAAAGTAAAAAGCAAAGTAATTCATTCGTACTGTACTTGGAACAGGCAATGATACGTGCCTCTGAACATGCTTCCAGAGCACCAAAGTTTCACGTTTCATTTGTGTGACGTTCACAGGCCTCTGGAGAATACCAATTTCCTGTGAGTGGCCTCTGGAGTTGTTCCCCCAGGGCTGATCTGGAATTCAATGGTCAACATGCAAGGTGAGGCTCATTCATTCTAGGTTAGATGTATGCAACGTTCTGACGTCTGGACCAAATCGTCCCCGATGGCCTTCCTCTCCATGGTGACAGCACGACCAGAGTATTTAAGTGTCTGTTGATTTAAAGCAAAACCCAGTCAGGTGGACCACTGGGGGTTGCATCCATGTTCAAACAACTCTTTATACGCACATCAAGCCCTACGTGCGCCTTCATCACTGCACACGCATATTATTTATTCATGAAGGAACAGATTTCCTTGTAATGATCAGGACCATTCTCAAAACTGTATGGCAGCAGGTTCCACTTCTAAAGAGGAAAAACAGAAACTGCATTCACAAGTAAAGCAGTAACTCAGTCCAATACACTCCCAGTCCAACTGCTCTCTGTCAAGAGTGATGCCAAACCTGTTTACTGATGCAAAACACATCTATATACGGGTACATATATAGTCATCTCAACCTGAACCTGAACCTTCAGCGAAGTTTTTTAAAGCAAGAGTTGCTTGGCCTCAACTTGGGGACGCAGCCACACACAATACAATGTAATACATTACAATTTATTCTTGTATAGCCCTAAACTAAATCACAACAGTAGTCATCTCAGAGGACTTAACAAAACCATTGAAATCACCAACACAGATCATAGAATCAGTTAAGTTAAGACACACACACACACGCACGCACGCACGCACACACAATGTTGGATTAATTGATGAATCAATTAAACATCTTCAAATGCATATTAAATATATGTTATTATATTTATGGAATCTAAAAGGAATCTAGTTTCTCATGATAAGTAGTGATTTGAAAAATACAGAAGGAAGTCCACACTAAGGAGACGATCCTGCCTTCTTGACCTTAAATTACTAAGTACATGAGGACTCATTAAAGGGTATTTAACCTTTCAAACAAAAGAACAAGATGGTGACAGACGTATTCAGCACATGCTCCCTAACAGAAGGCTACAGAAGTGACGGATTGGACATTAGGATGTAATTAGTGCATAAGGATGACCTTTCAGCAGACACCCCAAGGCACACAACTGACGGCAACCTTTTCCCTTCCCCTGATAAACGTAAACGCATTCTTACTGCATCACATGCAATCATTCTATATTTCCTCCTGGGAGAGATGAAGAGAAGGATTGAAAATCTCAACTGTGTAACTACTGTATCTAAAGAATGAGTTCAATGAATCTTCTGGGAGTGTCTCAAATGTGTGGGATCTATAGTAGGAGTGTTGTATTTATCTCATGTCATACAGTACAATCAAGTGAAAGTCAAGGGCTGTTTCTTTCATGGGAAAACGGCTTGTTCCATAGACTCAAACATTGGTGGCTGAATCTACTTAGCGCATTCCTGATACATGCAAATAATGGCACAGTGAGTCCAAAGCCTTTGTGAAAGGGATCACAGGTTCCACTGGTAAATCCTGCCTTTGGTGGGGCTCCATACGGCGCAGCCAGTGTGTCCCAACATGAACTCACTTTAGTGTTGGTCAAGATTGACATCATGCTGCAACTCTCTTATGACACTACGCCACTTCCACACCACAGGGAAAGTTCAAGCAGAGGATGGTTTTTCATGTTGCCTTTTACCGAATCTACCCCAACATTTAAATTCTTTGGGTTTTGAAAACACAGGATACATGCTAAAAGTGAGTGTTAACAGAGTGTCTTGGTGCATATTTCCTTTTAGGAACAGAACAGACTGATCTGTGTTTGCATTATAAAGGATCTTTGTGTTTCATAAACAACAGTCATCTTGATGTGAGAGCAAGAGAGGACATTCAGAGTCGGATTAAGACGCATTCAGAAGATGAAGCCTAGACAATATCATTGACACATTTAAAATGTAGACTACGTAAGATTCTGGGTATATAAAATTATTATTCTCAAACCCATACCTGAGTCAGCCAAACGACACAGCCCTGACTGAAGTTGCAAAGAGTTTAATGTGGTCATCCTAAAATGCATTCACATGTTGTCATGGAAACATGACAATAATGAGAAATATGAGAAATATGAAATCTTCTAAAGTTTTATACATTAAACATGAATGAGCATATTTCATCCATCCCCCAATTCAGAGAACCAGCCCCTCACTGATCAGCTGGTGAGTCCACAGGAGGACGGCATAGTTTTGATCTTTCAGAGGGGGATTAAGGCAAAGTGGGGTTAAGTGTCTTGCCCAGGGACACAATGACAGCAGACATCAGCGGGAGCAGGTGGAGTAGGTCTCATGGGAAAAATTGACCCACAACCTTCAGGCCCAAAGGTCAATGCTCTACCAACCGAGGCACCGTCGCCCCTAATATTCTTTATAGACTATAATATTTCAATCAGCATACATATGAATACTAATACTAATGAAACAGATTTACATTACTTTTCAGAGTGGGAGAGCAAATGAATGTCGAAATTAATCATTCAAGTGAATGCCCCTTTCAATAAAAATCCAATGATCAAGCGCTTTTAGATGATTCCTCAGACTTTCAGCTAAGAACATCTCCAATATCATCTCCCCTTCAGACTCCACCTGGCCCCTCGACCCGGGGCACAGGTTCTGGTTAAGCATTGCTCTCATAAACTCTGCATCCTCAGAGTATTTCCAAACTTCTCCTTCGCACATAAAAAGCAATTATCTGATGCAAGCTGTCAACTTGAATTAAACTCATATGTGTGAGACACTAAAAGCAGGGTGTGAAAGAGGAACAGGCCTGGTCAGTTTTCCCTGGTCAGGGAGCTGTGGTCTGTACCGGATAGCCTTGTGTTTTCTTCTGGCACCACTTCAGTAGAGCGTTCCTCTTAGATCCTCCGTACTCCCGCGCTAGTGCAGCCAAGGGGTCCTTTCTTTCCACACTGTCACCAGGGACCGACAGCATGCGGACAAACAAAGAGAAACGGAACTGTCAGTGACTGCACTGTCACATGGTGTCAATATCATGTAAATGTAGATGAATTATATACATTTCTATTCAATCAAGTGATAATAGACAAAAAATTGTAGGAAGCTCCATTCGAGACAAACAACACACACATAGACAGAGAGACAAACACATACACACTGACAAACACACAGACAGGCACACGCACAGGCACACACACACGCACACACTTGTTCTTCCATTCAATCTCTGAGTTAAAGGACACCCAAAACAAATGGAACGGCGCATACATTGTTGGAGATAGCAGAACTGGGCATGGGCCGAAACACACCAAACATGGTATACAGTAATAACAAGAGCAGCAGCGGAGAGCAGTCTGCCTGAGGTGACATTCAGATTCTGGGTGTAAACACAGGGCCACGAGAACATGAGCCCGTTTGAAGAGGAGGGTTATAAGCTGATGTATGGACCACCTGAGTTTGCTGTTGCCTCGACGATAAGTGAAGGATGCACTGCGATGGTTCAGAGACGCAGAGGTCTTGATAACAGACTCCAGAGAGGGGCTCTTCCTCATCAGACTGCTGGGTTTTAAGTCCTCACAACTGGACATCTTATCGCCTGGAATAAGGATACAGTTGGTGTTACTGTGTGTATGTTTGCGGGGAATTAACAGTTATACTCAGACACTCAGCATATAACATTTTCAGGCTTTACTAAATGTGTTTCTACTCTGACAATGTTCAAATCCAGGTTTAATAAAGTTCTGTTTAGCTGTGCATACAACTTTTTTATTTTAATTATTATTGTAATCTTGTTTTGTAAAGAACTTTGAGTTGCCTTGTGTATGAACTGTGCTATACATATACATATATATATATATATATATATATAAACTTCCATCCATCCATCTATTTTCTTCCCCTTAATCCATTTCTGGGTTGGGGGGTGGCAGTCAGAGCTGCACCCAGTACACTTAGCACCAGCCCCTCACTGATCCTCCTGCAGGTGGTGAGTCCACAGGAGCTGAGATCTTTCAGCGGGGGCTTCAGGTAAAGTGTCTTGCCCAAGGACACAACAACAGCAGTCATCAGTGGGAGTCGTGAAGTAAGTCATGTGGTGGGCTCGAACCCACAACCTTCAGGCTCAAAGGCCATATTATATATATATATATATATATATATATATATATATATATATATATATATATATATATATATATATATATATATATACAGTGCCTTGCGAAAGTATTCGGCCCCCTTGAACCTTTCAACATTTCGCCACATTTTAGGCTTCAAACAACTCCCACTGATGTCTGCTGTCGTTGTGTCCTTGACAAGACACTTCACCCCCATAGAATGTATCAGGTGTGTGTGTGTGAATGGTTGGTGGTGGTTGGAGGGGCCGATGGCGCATACTGGTTGCCTCGCTTCTGTCAGTGTGCCCCATGGCAGCTGTGGCTACAGTAGTAGTTTATCACCACCGTGTATGGAGTGAAAGAATAATGACATGTGAAGCGTCTTTGAGTGTCCTGAAAAGCGCTATATAAAACCGATGCATTATTATTAAAAAAAAATTATGAGCCTAGTCTGGTAAATTGAAGATCACGTTACCAGTAGAATGAACTTTGCATAAAAGACATACAAGGAAAAAGTCAAGTGACAAAAGTCAGCAGTTGCCAGTTCATAAAACTTCTCATTCATGAGAAATTCTAGTTAACAGAGCTCCTTTTACTAATTTCCAAACGCTGAATCGTTTCATTATTCTGAGCCTCTTGCTGCATTTCACCTTGTTCCTAATACTCCTCAGTGCAACATACCAGGATGATGAGAAAATTCCCCAAGGCTGATCCGATTTTCCAATGTCTTTGAAAGTGGTTTGATACATGAATGCCTCTAAACGAACAAAAAATTTGCATTAGATTGTTTCCAAAGTGGAGATAAGGATTAGCAGTTGTATACCTGCATTGGTGAGATGGCCGCAGCCGGGGCAGAACGTACAGGGATTGCACTCAGAGGGCTTCTTTGTGTCGAGGGCATCTGTAATGTTGGACTAGGACCATCTAAACATTTGAGAAATATTTAGCTGTAACCAACAACTAAGAAAAGATAGTGTTTTATCAACACTAAATAACAAATGAGTGATGTGACAAGAGCCGGGTAATAACTAAAAAGCAGCATTCAAAAAAGGAGGTGGGAGTAAATAAGCAATTAAATCTTTATGCAGTGCCGTGACAGCTTGAACTTCTGTACATTTTAGATTTTAGTTCGGATTTTTTCTTTCTTTTTTTTTTACTGAAAGGCCACAGCAAAGCAACAGAAAATAGACAAGGGAAGGAAACATTATATATAGCTGCAATCACAGCTAGGGCGTGATTCATATGACTCTTCAAGCTTTGCACATTTAGAGTCTTAAAATGTTTCCCATTGGTCTGTACAAAACAACTCGAGCTCTCTCAAATTAGTGTGTCTCATTTGTATTTTGGATGGATGTTGACTGGGCCACACACATGTTTTGTTTTAAGATTTAAACCATTCTATTGCATGAAACGTCTTAAAGTTTAGGGAAATACCCCTAGATACCTGGTTGGTGTTATTTTATTTTTCTCCATCCACTTTCTCATCATCCCTGTCCCTGCCAAAAAAAGAGACTGGGGAGGGAGCCCCGAGGCCAATGAGCAGTGATGCTTTTGAGCCAAACATAACATTTTGTATTTGGGCCAAAAAGTTCAATTTTAGTCTTATGTCACCTTTTCATGTGTATGACTAATATTTTAGTCATGTTTCTCACAGATTACCTCAGGTGAAATGTGAATGTCCACAACTACTTCAGCAAAACCATGGGCCTCTTGTCTGTGTCTGTGTTGTTCTTGTTCGTGCTGTGAGTTTGGGCAGACAGCTGCGTCTTGGTAGATTTGCAGTTGTGCCATACCTCTTTCCATTCTCAGATGATAAGAGTTAACAGTTTTCTGTTAGATGTTCAAAGCATTAGAAATATGTGTAAAATCTAACCATACTTAAAATGTATTCACAAATTCATTCCTGGCTTCTCTGGGTGGTTCCTTGGACTTCATGATGCAGTTTAGTGACCAACACACTGCACTGAAGCTTCACAGTACAGATGTCATTATACCGATAGATCACACTCTTAGCAGTTATTTTCAAACCGTTTAATGCACTCAGTGAAATGCTGGATGTTCACTTGATTTTTCCTTTTCTGTTTTTGATTTTCTTTTAAATACCAGAATCTATTTTTACTTTTACTTCAAAGTTGTCTGTTTCTTTGAAAAACCTAACCTAAAATCTTTTTTGTGGTCATAAAATGACAAAATGTGCAAAGGTTTCATTGTCACTTTTGCAAAGCACTGGATAAAGAAAAGACAAAAACGTGTTGCCATTCCACTGAATTTAACTCAAATATTGAATCCTAGGGTTGATTTTACAGGGTTGATTATTTTAATAATAATGAAGAAAAACAAAAAATCCTTATAATCTATTTTTCTTGGAGTTGACATTAAACCTCTAAAGTCACTCATCATTCTGTCAAAATGTAAATTCCATGATTAAATTAATTCTTATCTTTATAGAGCCATTTAATCACTTTTGTCTTTATTATGCCGCGAGTTCAACCCAGGTCCCACCAACTCCAATAACACACGGACAGAAATGACATGCATCTCTGCTGGACGTCTGACCAGCTGTTGCCCTCCACATTGTGTGCATTTGTGTGTATTTTTGTTCTCACTTTGTTCCACTGAGTCAAAGGATTTTATGAGGGATTTGACAGTAGCTTCGGGCTCAGAGTCGGTGGGGGCCTCTTGGTTGGGGTCAGCCGTTGTGGCCGTGGGCTGCATCACCGAAATGCCACACCAGTGATGCTTGCTATCCGACATGGGGGCCTCATCACACTCGGACCTGCTGGATAGATGAGACAATATGGACAAGCTCACATAGAAGGTTTACTATACACTCAATACACAAGAAGCAAGATGAAATGAGGAAGTCTTATTTAGAACACACAAACGTGGGATTACAATTCCCTTTATCAGTATTGAAGAAGGAAGAATTACAACTAACAGATCTCTCTGCTCTACTTGGTGCAGAGATTGGAGGCTCAAGCACAGCTGAAGTGGTAAACTCATTTATTCATTCATCTCCATGAATAGCATTAGATCACATACAGTCAGGCTTAAGGTCCACAGTCATTTCTGGGACAACAAAATAAACATGATCCCATTCACTGTGCAGTTCGTAATATGATTTAAACATGAGACAGGTCTGGCTAAACAATATGGCTTCGCTAACAATAAAGGACAATATCCTTAAATATTGTTTTGTTCTATATAAAATAATAACATTACAATATAAATTAAACAACAGCAACTGAAATAACAATGACATCAGGTGTGAGACGTGACTCTCTACATAGGCCCACAGATCAAGTCACTTGAAAACAGACATCTCTGTGTAGCTGAGGCAGATACAACTCATATATTACACATATTTGTTATAAGTTCAGTTCAAGCACAGTCTTCAGGTCTTTGTACAGGTCCAACATCTCTGGTGAAACAACTATTGAATATTGTATAGAGCTCTCCATGACAAGGAAAGCACTATCAACATGTAGAACAATACAATTTAAAGGCAAAGATTGTGTGATAAAAAACCAAAACAAATTATTAGTAATATCTTTTGTGATTTCCTTTTGTAATTTGCCGTCCTTATCTGTGTATGTTATGGTTGTACAATAAAATACTATTGTATTGTATTAATTAATGTTTGTCCAAGGGAGGTCCAATGCATCATCAGGTTATCAAGTTATGTTTCAAGTTATCACTAAAGATTACTACTACTTATGTCTGAGTGCCATCTAGTGGCGAACAACTGCATTGACGTTTTATTATTTTTTATGGGTAGATCAGGACAACGTCACTTTTTGTATATTCTACTTCCAATAGGTGGGTGCCAATGCCTTTCTCTCAAAGGCACAATAGCAGATGTACACTAAAGTGATTACATACTATAACAAGTACATTCAGGAGTAAAACAACACATACAAAGGGTTTACATTGTATTCCATGGCACACTTTAAGCACATTACAAAAACAGAAATAAGTGCAAATGTAACAAAATCCTTTTTGGAGAAAAGCAGTGGTGTCTAGTGACCTTCCACTGCAGTCTTGGCTTCAAAAGTGGCTCCGGTGCAGATCCTGAAAGACAAGAAAAGTAAATGTATTATTGTATCCCCCTCCAGGTGTAAAATGCGCAGATTATGAAATGGTTCATTTGTGTTATGTATTCAAAACACTGTCTATATATTTATTTATTCAAACACAGCAAAACAATGAATGAAATAACATATGATGTTATTTCCCTATCAGCCCTCAGCACTCCTGTTACTTGCTGCTTCATGCAGACTAACTCTCGCTGACGGACAGAGTAGGAAATGTATCTGAAGCAGATGCTGCAAAGCATGAGTTTGTCCAGTCATGCAGCGCACACCGCCCTGGTCTCACCAAAAAAGAGAGGTTATTCTTTTAAAGAACACTAGGTGGCACCAGATACATTTACTGGAACAGCAGTTTAGAAAGACCAGGCAATGCAAACCAAAGAGGAGGAGGCCTACAGGTGCAGTCAGCCAGACAGTGCAAACCGGAGAGGACAAAGTCAAAGCAAAGTAACCGAAAGAGTAAAGTGAGTAAGCAGCAGCACACAAGGCAGTCAGCCTGGACAGGAGCGGACTCACCTGAACTGGACCAGGACAGGCCATTCAAAGGACATCTGTGACAGAGGAACCACACAGCTGCTGGGCGAGGGAGCAGCCGCAATGAACGACCTCAGGATACGTCCACTATTATGTTTATTTATCTTTATCTTAAAACTTCAGCGGATCTTCATTGACCAGATCCTAAATTCATTAGTATAAATTCAGATTGTTTCCTTCAATAATATTGCCCCACAATTCATCCTACTAGAACAACATTGAAACACACAGCACATTCATATACCACCACTGCTGCTGCTGAATCACATTCATAGGACAGTGAGTCGTTGTAGAGGGCAACAATAGTGCAATGGTCAGTGAAAAGGACAACAGAATGGCAGGCGTCAGCTCGAAAAGTAGGATACATAGAAGGCAAGAGAATAAAATATACTAATACAACAACACAGTGTATATTAGTGACACTTATTGAATAAAACAAAATAGGAATCTGGTTTAAATTCTCAGACTCTGGCTTTCTATAAAGAAAGATGCTGCTCCTCAATGATGCTTGTGTGTGAAGGGGAGATATACCTGACTCCCTGCAAAGCCTCCATGTCCCCGGTGAGTTTGGCGTTGCGGTCCTGCTCCTCCTGCAGCTGCCTCCTCAAAGCACGCAGCTCCTGTTGGGCCTCCACTTTAATATCATTGGCCACCACCACTGCGGTCTGGAGGTCTGCCTGGAAGCGACGCCACTCCTCCTTCTCTTCCTGAAACAGAACAATAAAGATTGCTGCAATTTGTATACAGAATGAAAGTAATGGCGCAATGTGGGAAATTATAGCAAAGTAAAATAAAAGACATCCATCAAGAAGAATTAAGAACTGCAAATTGCTAAATATAAGATGTCCAGAACAACACAAGTTTTAAGCTCTATTATAAAATGTAAAGAGCAACTGTGTTGAAAGCCTCAGTCCAACAGAAGGGGGCACTGTTCTATGTCAAGTGAAAGATCAACAAGGGTTGATGTGGTTATCGAGAATCATTAATTCAGACTGATGCCAAACATGTCTATTGTCCTTGGTATACAACACTGTTTTGGGTAAGCTAAACTGGGTCACATGGACTTTTTGAGTTTCTAAATTATTGTTCCCAAGATAACTGAGGGATACTACTGCAGTTCTATTGTTCTTGAGTGTTTAATGTAGATGTGTAAAAAGTAGATGTTCGAAAAACTCTGAATGCCATAGAAATAATTGTTCGTAAGACAGAGAGGAAAGGAGGAATTAAAGGACAAAATAAATGCAGGGTTGAAATACCAGGAATAAAGTTCTAAATATAAGTGCTTAAGGTTAGGTTTCTACGGCCGTTCTCACCTTGATCTGTCGAGACAATGCCTTGATCTGTCGCTCTGACTCAGACTTCTGTTCCTCCAACTTCTTGACAAGATCTTGGAAACACAAACAAGTAGTAATGCAAATACAGTGATTACATTGTGAGAAATACTGCAGAATACTAACAGCTACGTATATTTCACCATAATCGATTGAAACTGGACGTAAGTGAATCTAGGTCTATAACAAATGCAACACATACTCTCCAGGTCCAGCACGGTCTGGTTGGTGTGCAGTCCCACGGCCCTCTGCTGCTCCACCTGGTCCTCCAGCTCGAACACGGCCTCCTTCAGCTCCTTCTCCTGGTTCTCAGCCTGTAGTGTCCTCTCCTCCAGAGCTGCTACTTTGCACAGAAGCTCCTGTTCCCTCTGCTCAGCTCGCTCTTGGCTCTGTTGGCATTTGGCCTCCATCTAAGTGTGGGACATCAGAGCGCTTTTTTTCAATTTACTTTTTTACTCATTACTTTTAAAATTAGTAATGAGTCTGACACAATATTACAATTCCTGCTCTTTATTAGTAACTTCGAGCTGTTTCAGTTTATCATCACACATTATAATTGTATTCACATATTCCAAAAGGCAATTGTTGATGTTTTGGATTATGACCGATAGGATTATAGTAAACTAAAGGTCAGCGTTAATCCAGGTTTAGCTCACATTGTCTTTTCATTCTCATTTTTCAGACCAAACAATAGAGAGTTGGACTCATCAGAAACGATGTTTGGAGTCCACATGAAGCCTAAAATATTTCTATTCATACAGCATCCGCTGGTTCAATGATGGTTTGCAAATGTGGTTTGTTTAAGATTTAAATAAGAATCAGGAGAATCCCAATCTGTTCCATTTTTGGTTGTGTGTGGTGAGCTGTGCAGAGAAGGAATGAATTAATGGACTATAAAGCACTTTTGTTACATTGTTTGTAACAACATTGCTCTACAAAACATGTTAATTGAATTCTTATTGCATACTGTGAGTATTGTTTCCAACACAAGACATGAAATTAGTCTGATCCTGAAGAACAGTGGTACCTTGGACAGTGCAGAATGGGTGTGCTCAGTCTCAGTCTGGGACTGGAGCAGGTGCTGCCGACACACACTCAGCTCGTGCTCCAACTGCTCTCTCTCGGAGTGGGCCTCCTTCAGTAAACTCTGCAGCTCGCTGCTGTCGCTGGTGTTCTGCAGGGCCTTCAGTTCTGTCACCTTCTGCCTCTCAATGTCCACCTGGGCCTTTAGTCTGCAGTTGTCCAGCCTCAAGGCCTCTGCAGCAGCTCTATGCTCCTCTGCTGTTTGCAAAGACTGTCCCGCTGCTTCCAGCTCTTGGTCCATATGGGACTGCAGTCGGCTCAGTTCCTCCCTGAGGTAGAAGGCCTGTCCCTGGGCATCCTGGTGCTCCTGCTCCAGAGCACGCAGACTGCCAGTGAGTTGTTGCTGAATGTCCACCAGTTTCTCTCTCTCAAACCTGGAGCTGTCTACTAACTCTGTGTATCTTTGCTCCAGCTCAGCCAGTCGTGTGCCCTGCCCCCCAAGCTCTTCTTCTCTCTGAGCCTGGGCCAGGGCCTCATTCTTCTGCACCAGGACCTCCACTCGCTCCCTCTGCTGCTGCAGTGATGTCTGTAGAAGCCTCTTCTCCTCACTCAAACGCTCGTTCTCTGCAGTAAGCTCATGCACCATCTGCTGCTGGTCCGACAACTCCTGCAGAGTGGCTTGCAGCTCCTCAGCAGTGCTGTGGTGGCTCTCCTCCATCTGGTGGATCTGCTCTGTGAGACTCTGTAAGGACACATCCTGTCGCACTGTGCAAGAGACTGAACTGGCTGGAACTGCCTCTGTGCTTACTCCACTGCTCACGGACTCTGAGTGAGACGGGATCTTCTCAAATTCAGACGAGTCAGGTGAAGGAGAGTCTTTGTCCATATCAGAAGAGGGGGTGGTTATGACTGGGCTGGGAGAAGAGATAGTGGAAACAGTAGAGTCTGAGGGAAGGCCATTCACCATGGCTTTAGTGGGACTGGCGGAGTTTGTTGAGGGCAACAGAGGGCTCTCTAAACACATGAGCTTTTCTTTTAATAACTGGTTTTCCTCTCTGAGTGCAGCTAACTCTCTCTGAAAGCGGCTGTTCTTTTCCCTTAGCTCTCCGACCAGCACCAGCGCCTCAGCCACCTGTCCCTGCTCCCTGTCTGCGCTCGGTGAAGAGGGAGAGGTGAGGGCCACTTTGCTCTTGCAGCGCTGCAGCTCTGTTCTCAGATTACTGATCTCTGAGTCTTTAGCTTTGGCCTCAGCTAGCAACTCTTTCACCTGACTCTCCAATAGTCCTTTCTCCTGGCCCTCTGGGTCTCCACGAGTCTTGGCTGTGTTTCGTGTTTGTTTTGATAGAGTGGAAAGGCTGGAAGTGCTGGCACTGGATACCATTCTCTTATTAGAAGAGCTCCTTAGTGGGTCCTTAGAAGAAACACGGTCCCGAGATATTGAGGACTGGACCTCTTTAGGAGCTGGAATCCCAGATTTCTTTGTTGTTTGAGTACCTATAAAACATAAACAGATGATTAGGCTCATTCACATAACCCTTCCTCAGTTATTAAGATAAAGAATCCCCTTCATTTGGAAACCGTTTTACAATAAACCATCATTAACTGAAGACAAATGTGATAGTGATAGTAAATCTCTGACAAAATCTCAATATGAATAGACTTGGCAGTAGGCTTAATTCAGCCGTTATAATGAAACACTGTCCTGCAATCGCTTACTGTTTGTCTAACAGTATCCGCCTGGCACAGATTGCGTCTCTCCAAAATTCAACACTATCAGGACAACTGGACAACCACATTGTTCTTTTGGGATTAGGAGAACTGAATGGCAAATAGAAAACATAAGGCCTTAAAGAGAAGAGAGAGAAAGAGTGTATCTGTCCGTAAAAGCACAGCACAACACAACACAATCAAAAAACATACAGATCCCATATCCCTGTGGTGCTTTTAGTGCGTCCTAGACAGGGGACCCTGTTGAACCCAAACCACAGAGCTGTGTCTGAGGGATCTGGTACAAAGATTCCTTCAATGTGCAGCTGCAAGTGCTGAAAAGACTGTGTAAAAAGAAGCCCGGCAGATTTTCTTTCACAAAATGATCCATCGAAACATTGCATTTCACCAGATAATGTAAACAAAGAATCTTCTTTAAAACCAATAATTAAAAAAAGAAATATCAGATGTATAGTAGAGTAGTATTAAAATGTTTTAGAGATGTTGAAACATTTGTATCACCCGACTAGATTACTGTAGTAACTTAGTAAGGACATACGGAGAATTGGGAAAAACTATGGACTGTTTTACTTTAATTACTTGCTATGGGCCGGCTGACGTCCTAGTCTACCGTCTAATAAAATCTCTATAAACATTTTGCATAATTGAAAGCATAAAGACCTTATTTTGTTTTTTTTCATGTTTGCGTGACACCAAATAAGTCATTCAACTAGAGATATAGGATTGTTAATGATTGTCTACCACAAAAAACCCACAGTCTGGATACTCCAATATTGTTAATATTCCTGTATTGATAACATTGGTTAGTGGCTAGGGAATCTGTTACGGACAGGAGGCCCCCAGGGAAGACCCAGGAAATACGTTGAAGGGACTATGTCTCTAAGCTGGCCTGGGAATGCCTCTGGATTCCCCGGATGAGCTGGAGGAAGTGTTCATGGATGGGGAAGTCACAGGCGTGTCAGCAACACGGCAACGTTTTAGCCGTAGCTTGTGGTAAAGATGAATGTGATATAAACATTAACTAATTAGCTTAATGTAATGAGCGTGTCGACTTCCTGGATTAAATTGGCCTCCTGCATTTTCACTCTGCCTGATCAAAATAATGCATGGTCTGTTTAGTGAAATTAATTTCTGGAAAGGTCCAACAAAAGCTCTTGGTCTGTGGTCAGCCACAAGGAGAGAATACACTCAAAATGTCAGTGGTTCAGATGAATGTTTTACACTTATTTTACCTTAATTCTTAAAGAATTGATTTGCAAATTATGGTGGAAAAAAAGTATTTGATCACCTAAAAACAAGCTCTCACAGACCTGTAACTCCTTTAAGAGGCTCCTCTGTCCTCCACTTGTTATCTGTATTAATGGAACCTGTTTTAACTCATTATCAGTATGAAAGACACCTGTCCACAATTTCAAACACTCACATTCCAAACTCCACTATGGCCAAGACCAAAGAGCTGCCAAAGGACAACAGACACAAAATTGTAGACCTGCACCAGGCTGGGAAGACTGACTCTGCAATAGGTACAGTAAGCAGCTTGGTGTGAAGAAATCAACTGTAGGAGCAATTATTAGAAAATGGAACACATACAAGACAGCAAAAACATGGTCAAGAACAGTGAAGAAAAATCCTAGAACCAATCCTAGAGAGCTGGGACAAGAGTAACAAAGGCTACAATCAGTAACACACTACGCCGCCAGGGACTCATATCCTGCAGTGCCAGACGTGTCGCCTGCTTAAGCCAGTACATGTCCAGGACCGTCTGAAGTTTGCTAGAGAGCATTTGGATGATCCAGAAGAGGATTTGGAGAATGTTATATGGTCAGATGAAACCAAAATGTATCTTTTCGGTAAAAACTCAACTCGTTGTATTTGGAGGGGGAATAATGCAGAGCTGCATCCAAAGAACACCACACCCACTGTGAAGCATGGGGGTGGAAACATCATGCTTTGGGGCTGTTTTTCTGCAAAGGGAGTGATCTGTGTAAAGGAAAGAATGACCGGGGCCATGTATTGTGAGATTTTGAATGAAAACCTCCTTCCAACAGCAAGGGCATTGATTATGAAACATGGCTGGGTCTTCCACATGACAATGATCCCATTACATCGCGCGGGCAACGAAGGAGTGGTTTCGTTAGAAGCATTTCAAGGTCCTGGTGAGGCCTAGCCAGTCTCTACATCTCAACCCCATAAGAAAATCTTTGGTGGAAGTTGAAAGTCCTTATTACCCAGCGACAGCCCCAAAACATCACTGCTCTAGAGGAGATCTGCATGGAGGAATGGGCCAAAACACCAGCTACGGTGTGTGAAAACTTTGTAACAACTTTACAGAAAACGTTTGTGCTCTGTCATTGCAAACAAAGGGTAAAAATTAAGTATTGGGATTCACTTTTTTATTGACCAAATACTTATTTTGCTTATACATTATTGTGACAACGTGATTTTCTGTTTGTTTTTTTCTCATTCTCTCTCTCATAGTTGAGGTATACCTATGAGGCCTCCCTCATCATTTTAAGTGCGAGAACTTGCACAACTGAAATATGTCCTTCTTTCAAATTACTCCACTGCTCTCGTATGCATATTGTTCTAAAACAGGCTCTCGTAGTAAAATTTGGGAATTTAGCAATTTCTTTACTCTGGATTCATCTGGACCCACCTCAGTAAAAGCTGAAGCGGAAACCTGTACTTTTTGTGTGAGAGGGAAGTGTGGAAGTGAGATATCCTGTTCAGTCTCTGACAAACGGGTGCCTATCATCCAGACAGGTTTGGATTGTGCGTTAGACAGCATGAAGTCTGCCTGACAGATTACACAGGATACAGGAGACATGTAGTATTGCTTAGCCACTACTAAAAAAAACCCCACACAGAATCAGTATATATTATTTTCCAATCCACCTTATTCATAAAGCACATTTTATTTAATAAAAACTAAGAGTGGAGTCATTTTGTATCTCCTACTTGTGCTGTGATATTATTTTGCACATACACATACAGGTAATTTCTCTGAGTGAGTAAAGTGATTGTTGAACTCTCCCCTGCATCACAGAAAGTGCAGTAGGCAGCTGACAGGGCTCAAACTGGCACCAGGCCTGCCTTTATAGCCCCTTTAATTATTCTCACTGAATCATATTGACTGAGCTGTGCTCTCAGCAGTGCAAAGAGTTATTGAAATGAATGAAATCTGTACTTTAACAAAAACAAAAAACCCAACACCATTACTAATATCTGAATCTGACAAAGCAGAGCAAACCACTGATAATGTGATTGATTCCTGCACAAAGAGCCATTGATTTCAGGTTGTGCCCATACTGACGTCTATAACATCCAAAATACAATGTACAATTGGTAGCAGACCACAATGTGCCAACCAGCAGAATGACAGACCACACAACTCAACACAATGCTCTGAGTCTCTACAGCTCCTCTATATTCATAGAGTCACTAGAGCAACAGGCTGTAATATAGTGTGTAGTGTATTGGTTTTATAGTCTGCAGAGACAAATGCATTAGTTTAGATGCTACTTCTTTAGACACTCAACAACATTTTACATGCATTTATTCACTCCAACAGAGGACAACACTAAAGAGTTGTTACAATACAAACATTCAAACTCGTTTCAGACTCTAAACTCAGCTGGTATCTGAACTAGTCAATGGTGGTCATGAAAAAAATTGTTCAAAAATTCAAAAAGAAAAATATTCTATATTCAGACACTCATATGATTAAGAGAAAGAGCCTTTAAAAAGATGGCTACAGGTGAAATGATATTTTGAAAAAGGAAATATAACATTTGGTCCTGTTTGTGTAATTTTTAAAAAGTGTTGGTATTTGCACAACTGAGCAATCTAGTTTCAATAATAGTTTTGATTTTGATACCTGATTTTCAATACTTTACACGACTCTGCTACTGTAGCAACATCTAGTGATTCATGTACACATCAGACTAGTGATAGACGAATCATTTGGAGAGCACATACCCCGCCGAGGCCGTGGCATGAGCTGCTTTGAAATAAATAATGACACACTGATCACTGCAACCATCGACTGACTATTTGGGTGAAGTGTCTTACCTAACGACATAACAGTTTGCTTCCAACAACTGCACTGTGTGTGGGGGGATTGGAAAATACACTCAATTGTAAAAGGCTTTACGAACATAATCTGAGAAAGTGCTATATAAATTAATGCTGTATAACCCAACATCAGAGACACAGTGGCACCTGTTATTTCTGATGGTCTCCCATCCGAATACTGAACAGGCTCTGCACTACTTAGCTTCTGAGGTCAGGCTTTGACAAGCAGATCTGGTCACATAGATTGAACATTTTAATAGCGCATGCCTTGTTCAATAAACAAGATAACAGTTTGGCCAAAGTGTTTAGTGGACAAAGTGATAAATACCATGGAAAGTATGAGAAGTGCCACTTCCTCACTTTGTCAGAGATATCACAAAAGGGACACACTCACTTCCTCACATCCAGTCCCGGTTTTGACTCCAGCCTGGTGAAGGGGTCAGTACACTATTCAAGCATTTCAATATTAAACTCGTGCCATGAAACAAAAATGTAATCTTGGTTGCGTCGGGAACACAAAAAACCCCAAAACGTTTTTCCTTTATGTGATTCTGCTTTCACAGCAGTAATGAGTGCCCACTTTAAGTTTACAACCATGTGAAATATAAATACTTTAGCCTGGGTCCAAAGTGGTGTAACTAGAGCATCTAGAGCCACGTTATAGACAGACAATTCATCAGCGCTGACACATG